ACAAGGAGGGAGTGTGGCGACTTGAACTGCTGCACATATGTGCAAAGTTCTATGTCGAAAACAGACAGACAGACACGGGACCCAAGGGGATAATAATAATAATAATAATAATAATAATAATAATAATAATAATAATAATAATAATGAGAAGAAGATTGGGGCCTCGCAGATGATTTGTCTAATTTCACACAAACTCGAAAATCCACATGCGAAAACTAACAAGTTAACAGAAGATGTAGCGAAAACACCATTTCAAGTGAACATAGACGAGGCAGAGGTGATGATGGTACCTAACTAAGAACAATACGCACCAGTTACTATCAAAGGGAAAAATGTTAAATAAGTCACTTCTTTAGCTTATTTACGTAGCATTGTTTCAACTACGGGAGGCACTAATGAGAATGTCAAAGCAAGTTAGGATCCGGGAAAGCAACACAGGCGTTTATTACTCTGAAATCAGCGTGAAAGTCAACAGCACTTATCAAAAAGAACTACATCCGATTTTCTAACACTGATGTTGAGTCATTGCTTCTATATATAGTTCATAAACTTGGTGCATCACGAAAAGCATCTCCAACAGGCAACTATAGACCTTCATCAACACCTACCTTCGCTTCATACTGGCCATAGCTGGCCAGAAAGGATTAGCCACAAGCAACTCTGAGATGCAGTCAACGACCTATTACCAAAAAAATATGAGGAAGGAAATGGGGATTGACAGAACACAATCTGAGAAGGTCGTTGAGTGCCATCACGCACCAGGCCCTCAAATAGAACTCGAATAGGAGAGGATGAATTGTGCGTTCGAGGGTGACATGGAGGAGCATATGTGTGGAAGAAATAACAGCTTATGAGCCAGCTAAAGATGACGACTGCAAAAAAAGGATGAAATGGAAACGTTCTGTTAAAGTCCTATGTTTCACTCAGAGCATAAGGAAATAATGATAACTGGACACAAGCTACCTGACCTAAAAATTGCATCGTATTGTCTTCGGTTGGGGCTAATTCCACAACAATAGTAAGAATTAAACATTGCTGAATGAACAAATTTTCATAGGCTTAGAAAATAAGAACGCAGGCTGGAACGTTGTGTCCCCAAATATATCCCAGCTGGTTAATATTACGCTTTCAATAACAGCTAAGTGCCTGAACCAACCATATATCTTTGTACGAGGACAACAAGATCAACCTAGTTTGGTTTAAATAACTTATCCAGACTAAGAGAAATTGATCAGTTAAGTGATTTCTCACCCAGAGTAGAAACCACTTCCTAGCATGCACAAGTGTATGTCGAATACCATAATTATGCCACCTACATATATCTACCAGAAAAATTCCTATTTAGTCTATAAAAAGCTAATAATAGACAATACCTTCGCCACAAATAGGAAAAGAATAGTAAAGTCACGATCTAGTATTAAAAAAATCCAACAAGGATGTATTGTTCGATACAAGTTCCATAAAAGAATGGCTGTATTTGAGATAGACCACTGGCACAGTATTCATCTTCGGGAAATAAACAATACTGTATCAGTGTTCTAAATTTGGTAAAATTATTCTTTTTTTTTCTGAATGCAAACAGACGCTGACAACACAAGACATGTTCCTAAGCCACTAAAATGATATAGGATTATGAGCGAATTAGTATTTAGACACATTTATCTTTATGTATTTAAGTAACCTAACATGTATTATACCGCTGGCTCAAACAGATAAAGGCTAGATATCTTTGTCCATAGATATCTTTTTTGAATGCCTACAATTTTGTGACATAGTTTCGTCAAAAGTAATAAGGTTGGGTGTACAATGTTAGATAAGCAAGTGAAGTCGACCAATGGGGTTGTAAGACTCCGTTCATCAAGATGGCTGCATTCCGAACCACTGCCTTCCTCGATGAGAAATGTGAGCTGACATAGGAGTGGATAGATGTGTTCATATCAGAACATACCAAGAAGTCATGAATTCTCGTGTTTGCTCCTACGCATGATTATTAAACCTAGGACTTTAGATTATCACAGGAAGACTTGTCTTCCTTCTTATATATGGGGACAATCAATGACTTACACCAACCCGACGAGACTTCCTCTGATTCCCAGACGCTGACCAATACCTTAGTTAACGCAGACAGTAAACTGTCTCCACCGTACTTAAATACCTCTGGAGTCATTCCATCAGATCCCTCAGCTTTGCCTCGTTTCAGACTAGTGACAACCTTAGTAACCTCAGTTAGGGACGGAGGGCCTGTGCCTATATCCCATTCAGGGAGGTGTTGGATGTTCGGTAAGTTGAGTGTGGCTGTAGGCGAACTAAACTGCTCCTCAAAATGTTCTTTCCAGCGATCCAGTCGTCTATCCTGGGAGCTAATTATGGTACCATTTTTCTCAGAGATTGTTTCACTTATCGTTTGCCTTTTACCACCTGTTTCCCTGATAAGCCTAAATAGTTGTCTGGTGTTACCAATCGCCGATGTCTTTTCCATCTCTTTCTCTTTTGTCGCCCATCACTGTTCACGGTCGTTACGAAGGCTTCTTGTTAGTTTGCTTTAGAGTAGATTTCGTTCCTCATCATAATCGGAGCTCGCTGGAATCAGTCTTCTTGCGTGAATCAGTTCGGATGAGGCGATAGAGATCCGGTGGCTCTTACTAACTTTTGGTTTTAGGTTATTAACAGCTTTTACAGCTGTGTCTACAGATAACTGTATGTTGTGCCAGGCTACCTCAGGGGAAGTCCTGCTGTGGACCTCAGATACACGTATCGCTATTTCTCCCTTAAACTAGGACTCAGAGTATCGATCTAGTTGGGTGTTATGTATGAATATTATGACCTTGTAGACTACGAGCGAATCTTACTTAATCTCATCTGTGTATATATCATTGGGGACCTAAACTTTTCGCTGCCAACAATTTCTTATGTCCATTTAGTCGTAAGCATAAACGTGCGCAGACCAGAGCGTGATTGGAGTCTACGCACGTGTTCCAAAAGGAGCGGCAGTCTTCTCCTGACCCTCGCCAACGATAGCCTATCACTAAATGGTTTATCTATAAGCTTAAATAATGCACTAGTGTTACCTACTGCTGAGGCCTTTTCATTTCCCTTGAATTTTTTCAACAATCATTGTTCACAGTCGTTGGAGAGTTGTTAGATCAGTTTGCATTTGAGCAGCTTTCGTTGCTCACATTCGGAGCCCACCATAATGGGTCTTCTGAAGCAGTAAAAAATTCATTGGCATTTACTAATCTTTGGTTTTAGGTTATCAACGCACTTCACCAATGTTACTACAGTTAAGTAGATGTTATGCCAGGCTTCTTTAGGGTGTTTTGTTGTCAATCTCAGACACATTTATCCCATTCTTCCAAAAATAAAGACCGTGTTTTCGCATAGTTGCATCTTACCTCCGTTTGGTTGTAGGAATATACGACTACGGACTAGAAAGTAGACGGAATTTTCGTAGATGTTTCATAAGGAACAACAATCTTATAAAGAGCCCCTCCGACAACTTATCGTTATGTGATCTATTTGAATCCACCGTTGATTTGATGAGAGCTGTGGGTAAACTCGAGACAACTCTAGAAATTATTACAGGAAAACATGACACCAATCTATGATCATCATGAAGGCCGAAATGAGATGCCTAATGGAGCTCCATGCATTATTTGCTACTTTCATATAGTATAGAGGCTTCTTTGCTTTGATCATCCAGACAAGATGTATTCTATATTTGAAGGTTAACATGGTATTTAGATTAGCTGGATAGCAAACGAAACCAAGTTTGAGTAGTACAAATTACTTACACTTCAATAAGAGGCAACAAAAAACGGAGCAAAGTTAAACCATCATAGCCGAAATCACAGTAACCTTGAAGAACTAATAGGAATCCAGATACAAAAAAGTCGCATAATCGTAGAAAATACACCACGAAAAATACTTTTAAACTTGATTTTACATTGCATAGTTGTAGCTTATGTGTTGTAAGAATGTCTCCTAGTCAATATGCAGATGATCTATAGAGAAATCTTACCATGCAGGTGACTGTAGGTGGTCATGGTACTTTGAGATCCATTGATATTTCTGACAATATTCTTCAACCTACTCCTAACTCCAACCATAACCCTGACTTCTGATCCTGACTTTAAACCTAATCCTAACCTTAACCCTACACCTTAATCTTAAAAGCCATGACCCTACTTAACAGTATAGATTTACAGAAAAAGTACCTATTTAATAAGTACAATACTGTACCTGTCCTCTCCAAGTCCAAAAAAGGCAGGCATGACTTGATTTCGAGTGACATTTCATAGCATTCCGTGCGTCTGTTCGGTCCTTGAAGGTCAATTTACGAAAGACCTTGACTTCAGCTATGATAATATAACTTCGCCGATAGATGAGTACATACAAAATACCTTCAAAAAGGCTTGATAAGACTAACTTCGTACATCTACTCCATAGTGATACAAAACAAACCCAGTAACTTCTTTGGGCAACTAAAAACATTCAAAACGAGTCACTGGTGACGAATTTCACGCAAGTCTTATTTTTGTCTACCGACAATCTCTTCTCACTTCTTTCATTGTAGTCTACATAGATTTTCCAACTTCTTATTACGACAATTGTCTGATATTTGAACTACGACTTAACAGGTCTATGCTATTCAAAAAGTAATATGACATGGAGACTGATGCAACCACAACTTAAGAGTTCGCAGACTGGAATTTTTAAAGCACAACCGTAGTAGTCTATGAGCAGCATTGTTACGTGCAACTGCATAATAAGAATCAGACTCCGAATAAGGACTGAAGGTTTTAAGCCCATGTTAATTCTTTTCTAATAAGTATCTGGGGTCATTTGAGCCCAATTTCCAAATCCCTTTCGTTGAAAGTTAAATTGATAAAATACACCTAATCAACTTATTCAGTATACTGCTCCTCTTATACAATTTCGAATTAACTACTTTATACTACACACAAAACAAAAAGGTAATCAAAAATATATGACTAACACACCAATTACAATATACCGAGTTGTAACGCACGCTTTAAACAAGGCGGGTTTTAATTATTCTAAATTTGAATGCTTATATTTTTACAAACAATTAGTCTATCGTTTTATGATAATGGTTTAGACAGACTAGATCTTCTTTTGCGCCTGAATATGTCCATTCTTTTCTTTTTCTTGGATAAATATTGTAAATCCGTATCCGCAGGTACATAGTACTCATCGTAGCCAGATGGATAGATATCTCCGTAGTCTCTAACTGGTTGATTTAGTGCATCCAAGTTATTTCTGTACAATTCCTGAAGAATTCTTAGCCATCTTGGGGAGTAAATACCACCGTAAGGTCTCGATATAATATTTCTTGGCAATAAGTACTGTAAGATATTTTCTGGTAGTATTATATAAGGCCAAAGAGATGCTTGAAGGACCTGTTGACTGAACCCTGGTATCGGAAATGATACTGGGAGACCTCCTGGGGTTATTGATGTTCCTGGTTGTCCACCTGTCACTGGTGGCACGAAACCACCAGTTGCTGGTGGCACAAATCCCCCCGTTGCTGGTGGCACAAATCCCCCCGTTGCTGGTGGCACAAATCCCCCTGTTGTTGGTGGCGCAAATCCCCCCGTTGCTGGTGGTACAAATCCACTCGATACTGGTGGTGTAGTTGCACCCGTTGCTGGTGGCATAAATCCACTCGGTACTGGTGGAGTAGTTGCACTTGTTGCTGGTGGCATAAATCCACCCATTGCTGGTGGTACAGCTGTGAGAGGATTTGCTGCAGGAATTTGCCCAGGTAAACTGATAGCTACTGTATTTTCAGTCGAAGGTAAAAACCCGAGAAAAGGTACTCTTCCTTGTGGTATCGTGGAAAAATAATTATCAAATCCATAATGTGCTCTGGATGGAGAGATATAATCAATTACTGAAGATGCCGGTTGGATGGCTGAGGCTTGACTTCCAAATGAATTATCCAAATCATCATCATTTTTTGTTGTTTTCGACGTTGTTGTTGTCGTCGAAACCATAGTATTTTGCATAGGTGTAAGTAATTGAGACTGATCCGGCATTTGATCTAGCACAACAGATCCAACTTGTGTATTTTGATTAGAATCCTCTGGCATATTACTGACCATTATGGTTGAAAAGTCCATTGCCGGATTCATTGCACCCTGTTCAGAAAATTCCATCTGCATTTGTTCATGTGAAAGGCATATTATTGATGCCAGTATGACAGTTAATCGTATAACAAAGTCAGGAGTCACTTTTACGAACATGACGTGTTATTTTATGCGAAGTCCACTATAATCCACACTAAGTAAGTTTTATGAACTGTGATCAGTAAATCGATTAAAATGTCTAGCATTTTAATCAGCCTGATTGATGTTCACCAACTGCCCTGAAATTATGATTGGTTAAAATTAAAAGTGAAACTGATCAATATTTATTTAAAAATTCTGACTTGATTCATATTCAGACTATTACTAACAAAAATGGAGATTTTAGTAATTCAGACTGGTGGTAAGAAATTGATTCATTCGAATCAGCTTCTTAGGTACTATTGATAAATGCTATCCTAAAAATATTGGAGGCTATGCTTTTGAATTTGGAGATAGTTATGCTATGGAAATTTGTGAAAAATATACCATAGGAAAATATTTGAAATTTCATCTTGTCAAGCCTTTTCTAAAGGACAGCTTAGAAATTACATTTGAAAATAAACTTGAACTGGCTAATTTATTGATTACTTCCAAATATAAAAAGGTAACCAATTAAATTCATTCTGAGAAGCAACATTCTATTCATTACTTTGCACTATTATTATTATTATTATTTTTATTATTATTTAAAGATTCTGATCACACATGGGACAGACACAATGATTGAAACTGGCAAATACCTGACTACTTTTGAAGATCAACTTAAAGACAAATGTATTGTGCTAACCGGTAAGTATGCTACTTATTTAAAGTTTTTGTTACCAAGTCAGCATTTAACAGAAGTGAGTCAGTTAAATCTGTCAAGTTATCACTGGAATAAATAAAATAGCTAATATATTAATAATGATATAACAGTGTTGACAAAGTGAGTCGGTAGCACAACGGTAGAATGCTCACCAACCACTTAGATGATTCGGGGGTTCGACTCCCGGCTGACTCACTCCTTTACCTCACTAAGCCAGTTATAAGACTGGTAAAGAGGGAAGGTTAAACATGAGGCCAGCAATCCCATCCAGTAAAAATAAATACCACTTCTGCCGAAACTTCAATCCTCTAGCTTGAAGCCCTATATCCCAATGGGAAAGTAAAGGAATTTTAAAAAATTTTGACAGTCATCCCCAAAAAGTAGTCAGCTTTTATGTTCAAGGTGAACAAAATGAAAATGTTCAGGTTCCACTTTAGCTTTATCATTTGTTTCATGCATTCGATTGCCAGAAAGAAAATATTCATCTGAATTCATCTTGACTTGACGATACATACGAATATCAATTGTCTAAGCCTCGATGAATAACACATTTCTTTACAACTTTTTTCTTTTCTTTTTTTTTTCATTACACATACCTAAGAGCTGAAACATCTGAATATGCTTAGTGGTTTCATTATAAAACTACTTAAGATAATCTCAGTGTGTTTAGAAAATCAGCGGACTCCGAATAATTCTGCTGGTGAAAAGTTCAGAAGATTAATAAATGTGTAAAACTTGGGCACTGTGGTAGTAAATAATTCCATATCAGTTTGTTTATTAGGTATATCACACAGTGAAACAGTATTATTTACTGGATGACGTTTCGAACAAAACTTATTGTTCATAATCATTCCATCAATTATAATCACACGACTTTGACACTTGAGTTTTATAGCTTTCTTTGTTTTCTCCAATCTGTCGTAGGGGGAGTAGAATTTTCCATATATCGGGGACTGGTGATGAATCATTCCTATTACATGTATTTGCAGTTGATTCAATAAACAAAGCTTCTGTTATCAATCTCTCCCTCCAGCCTGCTGCTACATTAGATTTTAAAACTGTCATCCTATCCCATCCATCCTATTGTATGGTTGTGTGTGACTGCATGTAGTGCTATGGCTGAACTATTCTCTTGATTTCTTATTTTATTCAATTAGAAACTCAATTAGAAACAAGCTTTGTCGGCTAACGGATCCTATAGGGCCTTTAAAACAAAACAATTTAGTTTATCTAATACCCTGCCTGCAATGATTGTCAGGTCAAATACATAGGTCAAACTAGTAGAACAGGGACAGTCAGACTAGCTGAACATAAAAACCCAGCAGCAAGATCTAGATTGGTTGACCCGAATAAGATAAGAAATTTAGAGAATAGTTCAGCTATAGCACTACATGCAGTTACACACAACCATACAATAGGATGGGATGGGATAGGATGACAGTTTTAAAATCTAATGTAGCAGCAGGCTGGAGGGAGAGATTGATAACAGAAGCTTTGTTTATTGAATCAACTGCAGATACATGTAATAGGAATGATTCATCACCTGTCCACCCAGATATCTGGAAAATTCTACTACCCCAACGACGACAAATAGGAGAGAACAAGGAAAACTATAAAACTCAAGTGTCAAAGTCGTGTGATTATAATTGATGGAATGATTATGAACAATAAGTTTTGTTCGAAACGTCATCCAGTAAATAATACTGTTTCACTGTGTGATATACCTAATAAACCAACTAATAAGGAAAAGTTCAGAAGAGTCTAGTTCTGATTTCCCATACACGCTGAGATTATTTTAAATAATAATTTTATCGTAATTTATGGTGCTCAAATTATTCCAGGAAGTTCATAACATCTATGGTCCAGATTTTGATGATATCTAATAGTAGTTTATTTATTGCTGAAAAAGCAGTTTTCCCATACTCCTTCTTAGGTTTAACACACTTCACTGAGGAATCTAGAGTTTTGAATGTATGTCGTATGTGTTCCAACCTTAGAACTGACTGTAATGTTGAAAAAGGTGGATACTAACGTTTAAAGACTATTGAAAATACAGTATCTGAATATTATTTGAGTAGAAAAGATGAGTAAAGCAGTAAAAAATATTTATGAACAACTCAGGTTACTTGTATGGATTATATTTAATTGATATGCTATGTGCATTGTACATAGATAATTTATTGTTGTGTATTTATATGTATGTATATGTCTGAGAGGTGGGTGGAGGAGACATGTGTTTCTTTCTCTCCTATGTGATGAGATCATTTAGAAGTGTAGATTCATGAAAGTCTAGATATAGAATATCAACATTTAAATTAACAATCACAAATCAAGTGATTACCGTGTTTAATACAAGCAATATACAATAGAATACACCTACTGGCAATAAGACACGTTGGTAGGTTATTCAAATGTACATTAGAATAAATTTGTCCAAATACTAGTTCTCTCTCTCATAAAATTACATCTTTTGAATGACTTAACAACATGCCATATGCCACAAGCCCGAAAGGTTCTATTTCTGCTCTGCTTCTACTTGTGAAAATTACACCATACCTTATTTCACTAATGCATATCTAATCTGTATCGATATTTTTTAACTGATTAGCTTTATATATACATATATATATATACCCCAGGGAAAAGTATTCATTAAAAAAATTGAACTATCATTTAATTTTGTGCGTAGAAGAAATCACGTCGGAGATATTACTGTAAAAAATGAAGTTGTTTTCCTTATAATATTCTTATCATTTTATATTTTTTTAAAAATAGATTCTAAGATAGTTTTTATTTGGAACCGATACCACTTGGCGACCATAGTGTACTGAACATGTGTTTCATCCTGGTTGGAACTCTTCAGTAGTACTCACTGATGGATGACTCCATTAAGAATCGAACCTTGGACTTCAAAGTTACTAGAGAGCATGTTACTATTTAGCCATTAATTTTACCTTGTGTCAGTTCATGATATTTATGCAGTAACTTCTAATCAGTATCATCGGTGAATACCTTACCTTATATTCCATTATAGGGTAAGTGTATTTGATAAAACCACACAGTGATACAGTATTATTTACTGATAACGTTTCGAGCACAATTTATTGCTCATTATCATATCAAAACAGTCACATAACTTTTCAATCTCGTCTATATAATTCAATTATTTTTTTTAGCGTCTTGGTTTTGTTGATAGTAATATTTTCCATATCTCGAGTATTGGTGCTGCGTCATTCCAGTTGTGCATGATAGGTGTAGATTCGATGAACGAGGACTCTGTGATTAATCTTTCTCTCAACTCAATAGTATTGCTTTGTAGAAGTATCCCTATGTCCCACCGTATTATGAGATTGTGTGTTAATGCATGCACTGCGATTACTGAGTTTTTCTCTAAACTATTCATCTTCGATAATCTGACTACCCTCGATCTAGTGGACTGACCTATGTAGCTGATCCCATAGTCATCCTTAAGGTATTTTGTAGGTTACATTATTTTGCCTAATTGGGTGAATAGGGACCCTTTAGCCTACAAATCTTATACGTGAGTGAGTTTGTAGGTTTAAACACCATTCTAATTCCTGCTTCATTAAGAGTCCTAAGTAAGGTCTTGAATATCGCTTTCTTATATAGTGAAACTGTAGATGCCTTTAATTCTTTCTTATTTATATTATGGTCAATAGTTCCATTGCTATTTTGCCTTTTGTTGTCAGCGTTTTTGGTCTTAATGATATTTATAGGATAGTTATTTAGCAACAATGCTTCTTCTCTTTGTTTCACTTGATCATTTAGGTTTTCTGACGTACTACTGGTCTTCTCAGACACCTAACTAACCCTACCTTTACAGATAACAGATGAGATGCCTTAAAGTCTAAACATCTATTAGAATGCGTTGGCTTTTTACAAACGTTAGTGCATAATTTATCTTGTTCTGTTCGTTATATTTTTCAATCTAACTTAGCTAATTCTCCTTGTTCATTTTCTGACTAAAATGTAAATTTTATACCCACTCCTATTGAGTTTATATGTTTGAAGGAACTAAATGTATGTTCTGTTTTGAATACTGTGAAAGTGTCATCCAGATATCTCTAACATATCTTTCTGGTAGGACTAAGTGCATTAAGAGCCATATTTTCCCAACTATCCATAAAGATATCTTCTCTGACTGAGGATATTGCTGATACTATTGCCATCCCTTCTGTTTGTTCATATATATTTTGCCCTGGGATTTGAAGACAGCAGACATGAGGCATAAATGAATTCCTAAAGTCATTTCCTCATTAGACGGCTTCGTCCTATGAGTAATTTCGGGATCAGCACTCGGTTCTTTTCTAGCTGCTTCCAACGCCATTTTGATCGGTATGTTACTAC